AAAAGTGTAATCGCAAATACAGAGCCAAAAAACACGTCCTTTAAAAATATCGATTTTATTCTTTCCTTTTCTCTCGCAAAAATCCACAGCTGGTCATAGGCACAGAACATTAATATCCTTAGGCGGGTCATCGGCCTCTCCTACTATAGGGAGGTTTTCTTAATCATCACGTGTGACTGGCGGATTAACAGTCGAAGTACAAGACGTTACGCACCTTTGACGCTGGTCCCCGTCGCTGGCCTGGATATTTTACGTATTGCGTAGTAAACGAGGTGGTTATATCACAATCTAAAGCAATCCATTACATTTTCTTGTATTTCCCTTTACTGCTTCCTACGACACTCTCCGAACAAAATGAAATGATGGATTTGATTTCTCTTCGCTGTACCGCTCCAGCAAAAATATCAACATATTATAATAAGACAATGCTTCTCTGAGAACTGCATGTATGTATGTACCTACCTACTGCATCTCTGAGAAATAAAATAATATTTCGTAGTCATGTGAAGTTTGCCAACATGCATTAGGGTAGCGCGGTGGACATTTCCTTGCATTTGCTCTCTCAGAAATAAGAAGAGGCCTGTGCCCAGCAGTGGGACGAATATAGGCTGTAACTTTATATTAATAGTAAGACTATCAGTAGCCGTGCTAGTACTAGCTAAGTCTCAGTGTGCGATCAACCTGTCGGTACCAATGAAATTGTCAATTGCAATTTTAAATACTGTTTGTCATTTAAGTACTGGAGACCACGAAAATATCGTGAGGAAACCTGCGTGTCTAGTGAATTAAGTATTTTGAGGATACGGGATAACTCACTTAGAGTGTTTGTGCTCAGGTGGGGCTATACACGTAAATTATAATGAGTAGATAGGAATATAAAATAAGTTAATATACGCGATAGAATCCGTATAAACTAGTTTTATTTAATTTGAGTAGATTAGTCTGTAAAGGATATGTGATTATAATAAAATTATTAAGTAGTTTGTAATAAAAATGACGAACTTGATTGCAGTGATCTATTATGAACAACAAAAAAGTACATATATATTAAAGTACATATAAATAACAATCATTATCATCATCACAGCATTATGCTCTATTTAATTTGTTATATTTACGCGAATATTACACATTGAATAAAACTAATTTAACGGATTTTCTCGCGTTTAATGATAACACGTTTTGCGCTTCGTTTTATGCGGTAGAGCCACGCTGCAAATATTATGGTTGTAGCAAAAATGGCTCGGTTCGATCACTCTCACAGAATACCAGCGTAAAATATCAGATTCATGTTGCTGTGTTTCGTATGGTGAGTGTAGAGAACCGGACACTTTTTACTGGAAACGAAGCATTCCATCTTAGTCCTCAAAGGTAGCAACGCATCTTCATTTTGATTCTTAATAGATGATAAATATAATAAGGTGGAATGTGTGCGCGTTCTTTCACCCTTATTCTTATAAAAAAGTCTTGGATGCTTTACAGCACCATCCATGGTCACGATGGGTCTGTGGTGTTAGACGTCCTGATTTCATAATTAAGGAAAGCTGTCTTCAACTTTTTTTTTAATTTTTGGACTTATCTACGCAAAATAAGCTTACAGCATCTTGAAATATTACAGTAATTTGCTTGGGTTTGGATTTCATTTTATTAACTATGGGATCCCAAGCAGATGGTTGCACCTAACCAAATTCACTATTGAAAATAAATTCTTTTTTTTATTTCAATAACCTCACGTGTCATTTTCTGTAAGAATCTCTATCAAATCTGATGCAATTGTTGGGACGATCCTCAACATATTTACAAACGGTCTGCAGTATGTCATATATCAGGGAATTAAAAAAAGTTAAAATTAAATACGATAAAATCATCCACATATTGGCCTCTCCTATAGAGGCTTCCTGCCTCATAGGGAAGATATTTGCCAAAGTCGCCACGCTTAGCATAGGCGGGTTGGCAATCACACTTCTTTTATTGTTTTGAATGGTTATCAGTCTCCTGTTTAACTTCTCTCTGTCACCTCTTACAACACACACGGGATAGTATGGGATAGTAGGTTCTCTTACGCCCATTAATAATAATAATAATAAATCGCACGAAAAATACTATATCTTTTTATATTTTTTATAATCTTTCGTATAATTTATAGTTAAGTTATCGCAAGCTTTTAACAGATGTCCGAAGTATTATAGTATTAACCGAAGTATTATAAATTCCGGATGTTACCGACGCAACAAAGACTTATCGATAAATATTTAACTTTTAAATTTGACTACTTTACGTGTTTTTTTTATAGGAGAGGGGGCAAACGAGCATGCGGCTCACCTGATGGTAAGTGACTACCGCCGCCCATGAACAACTGCAACACCAGGGGAGTTGCAGATGCGTTGCCGGCCTTTTAAAAAGGAGTAGGCTCTTTTCTTGAAGGTCCCTAAGTCATATCGGAGTTAAATGCAAAAAAATGAATAAATATGTACATGTAAATAAATTAAATCCCTTATGGATTCCACCGCAGTCGGATAGAATAGAATAGAATAGAATCATTTTTATTCAATATTGATTAAATGTAATTCTTATTGAGTCATTTTTTACTTTTATCACTGGTTCGGAAAAAACAACTGCCCTGGTTAGAACCACCAAGAAACCTAGCGGGACTTTTTTTAAGCATAACTTATAAAATAATATTTATACCATTGTTATGAAAACATTTAGAAAGAACATGGTAGCGATCACCTCATTCCCAGGGGTTATTATCAATCATGTACCTACTCTTTAATAGTATAATGACCCTTATTAAACTATTTTTCATAATAAATATTTTAAACCTTTTGATAGACAAGGTTTGAATTTTTTCTGGGAGTTTGTTGTAAACGCAATATACAATTGGCCAATAGAGGAATCACTGACTCTTTTTAATAAAAAATATTAAATACATTTTATTCATATATAATGCTACATTAAAAACTGTAAAAAAAATATTGGTGATAACTGGTCCCTCTACGGGATAAATAATACAAATCTATACAAATAAATAAAATTGAAGTGTCTGTTTGTAATGTCAAAATACCAGCTTTTTACTAAATGCATGTGAAAGTATATACGGTACTTATAACAAAAACACATTTTTTTAAATTTTTTTCTGTCTGTTTGTTTGTTCCGGCTAATCTCCAAAATGGCTGGACCGATTTCGACGGAATCACTGGCAGATAGCTGATGTTATAAGGAGTAACTTAGGCTACTTATATTTTAGAAAAATAATTAGGGTACCTACCGCGCAACAAATTTAACACCCTAAATTACACGCGGACGAAGTCGCGGAGAACAGCTAGTATAATATAAATTACAACATGACGCAGTACTATTAAGACTAAGCTAGGCAGCTGAGTTAGTACTTGAGAGAATAACATACGAGTATGTTGTAATGAATATGAATATCACTGTTATTTTAAACTAATGATATCATTTCTGTATCTCAGTGTATAATGTCATAATATACTACGTCTCGGAAATCCTTTGTATGAGTAATTTATGCAATGGAAATCTGCAACTTGGAATTCGATAACACATCATAAAATATGGCTCATACTCACCACAAATATCTATGCAGATGTTGTAACAAGCTTCATTTACACGCGAATGTATTATAAATTGATATCTAATAATAACAAACTAATATATTATGATAACGTTTCACTTACGCGTTCTTCTTTGCCCTTAGCAAGTCGATGGAAAATCGAATTATTCGATATCGTGTTGTAAGGATTATTAGATGATCTGCAAAATAAAAAAGCCGTAGTAGCTCAGAAGCTAAACGCTCGCGAGCAACTCTAGTTCGAAACCCGCCAGCAAATAAACAGCACACATTTTTTCTACACTAAATCGCGCTTTAAATAACTGTAAAGTAGTGGTCTTTGATAGTGCCCGCTAGACACGATATTTTTTATAGATTCACATCTAATGATACACACAAGAAGAAATAACGTAATGGATTCGCAAAGCTATCGGAAGATAAATATCATTATGAAGTGGCGAAGCTTGCGAAGTCACTTATTGATTTCACGATGTCTGTCCGTCTGTCCGTCTGTCCCACGATTATCTCGAGAACGGTTCCGAATTTTCAAATTCTGTTTTCAGCAATCGATTACTGATCACCCAGGCATCTGAACCTCCTATTTTGAAACTGATTGCTCAACGGCAACCGTTAAAAACCGCTACAAAGCTGATTGCTTCGCCACTTTGCTATGCTGTTAGCTTGCTAGGTTTTTTATAAATATTTTTTTCTTTACTCATGTGGTATAAGTATGACAATCGAGCACATAGTGAACCTAATAGTATTTCGATGCTGTAACCCAAGACACACCCCTGAGAACTAACATAAAATATCTCATAACCTGTCAAAAGAGTGTCCGGTTCTCGGCTCGTCGTTATGCATTTTACGCTGTGTGCCTGTGTTAACGTGGTCCTTTAGCATAAAAATATTTATTACATAGTCGATTAAATGAACCATGAACTTATATATATAGCGTCGTAGAATGGATATAGCGTCCATTCAACTAATATGTTTAACAGTTTTAAATATCTAATAGTATGCCTGTTTAGATCATTACATTATATTATATTTTTTTTGTTATATGGAATAATACTTTTATATCATAAACTGTTTGCCTGTCCATTAATGGTAGAGTTTTCCTATAAGAGATCAGACGTCGGTACCTACCTTTTGACACTGCACCCCAGTCTGAAATTATATATCAAATATGCGTTTTCGTAGAAGTAGTAATGCTACCGTCTATCAAGAACCAGCCATAAGATCTTAAAGCATACGAAATGCTGATAATGGACTCTTAACGGCACTCATAGGGCTAGGGTGAATGAATTTGCCACAGCACTCCAATGAAAGTGAACCGTCACTGCTACTACTATATACAATAACAGTGGCTTAAAATGTTTTAATTCTTTACCGTATAGTATTTGATAGTAATTATTACGTTTTATTGTTGCAGGAAGTCTCGGAGCTCGTCTAACAAATACTGACAAAAACAGGTTGGTAGATGACGCATAGTTTTTGTCATACAGAAATACTTGTGCCGGCGATAGACCTAGCTTGCTTCAAGTACGCAAATAGATATAAATATATATAGGCGCTTAGTTTGGCACAGGCATTTTTTTTTTATGGGATAGGGTGACAAACGAGCACACAGTCCACCTGATGGGAAGTGGTTACGGTGACCCATAGACATCTACATCTATCCTTAATAAAGACTCAAGATGCAGATGCGTTGTCACCCGTGAGGACTAAGATGTTATGCCTCTTTGCCAGTAAAAAGGGTCTCCGGTTTTCTACACTCACCATACGAAACACAGCAGCGTTAAGCTGATCGTTAACCACTTCACATCATTTGCGTATGTGCGCAAAATTTGAACACACATTTGCAATTTGCCATCCAGTGTTGGTTTTTCTAGGCACATCAAAGTAAACAAAGTTTAAACGACCTGCCACACTTAAAAGTTTATTAATTTTAAAACTTAGTTGTGAGATTGTGAGTGGTTAACAAAGGAGTATCTCAAATATTCTCACCTTATTATCTTTTAAATTCAAAATGCGTGGTAATGCATTATTTTAACGGATTTTACTGCACACGCACACATTTGTAAGGGTCGATTGATAGGCAAAAACGTTGTTGCCCATAAATCACATTGATTTTGGAATAATTTCAAATAAAAGCAGAAGCTTTATTTAGTCGTATTTTTAAAAGCTGTAATAACGGTATATCATTATTTAAATATATTGATAATATTATATTACTACTGCCAATTATAAATGCTTAAATTTTTTATCCATACAGATATACGTTACATAGCTTCTAGTTAAAAAAATCGCTACACACAAGTTTTGAGTACTGATTATAGTAACAAATATTTAAGAAACGATAGTACGATAATAATTATTATAATTATTATATTCTAATGTTTATTTTTTATTTACACACATCCGACTATAAACTCACATCTGTCTTTTAAAAGTATTTTCGTACCAATATTTTTAAGTCAGTCTTAATAGGTATTTTGATTGCCTTCGTGCAAGGATTTCTAGAGAAGTGCAACCTAAATGGTGAAGGATTTACCAAAGATATCGGGGAAATGTTGAGGAACAAGCAAAATTCTACAGGCATGTCTTTGTTTTATAGTAAGTAATTTAAGACGACAGCGATATTTCCCAGAGTAGGCTGAAAGAGAATGCCTAAAGGCATTATCACGCCCCTTGTAACTTATAAAGTGAAAACAAATAAATATTTAGAAATCCACCCTAGCAATAACACACAATATTGCTGGTATCAAGCGATAAGTGTTGAAATAACAAATATGAAATATTTGATTCACAATAGCAAGCAACTAGCTCCAAAATAGCGGTTCCTGCGTCATTCTTATGCCTAGTATGTACTTGCATATTTCAAAGTCTGAGTATAAGTAATTTACGAGCTTTCTTACGCCTGGAACGCTAACAGTTGCTCTTCAATGTTTATGTTTGTAAAGTTCTAACCAATGTTTTACGAGGCTGCATTGCCAATTTTCACAAATAATGTTATAAATATTCCCTAAAGAATCGTCATTGTTTAAGCATAAACTTCTTACATATTGAATTAAATTTTTTTTTCTAAATAGTCTTCTAATAAATCGACGTACTTTTAAATTGAAAAAAAAAATGTAGCCGTGAGCCTCCAATAATGTTTATGCAGCGGCCTTTACAAAGCTGTTGTCTCCAATTTTGGTCTATAACAAAACGGTTTGCTGCGTCGTTCATCATGCGTACAGCAAAAGAGTGGAATACGTTGCCAGCATCTGTCTTTCCATCCGATTATAGTGTGGGCGTTTTCAAGGCAAGAGTGAATAGGCTTTTGTTAAGTCAGTGCGCTTCAGCATCTTAGGCTACATCACCACTTACCATCAAGTGGGATTGTAGTTAAGCGCTGGTTTAAAATAAAAAAGACTTTTTGTAAGTTTTTTTTAAGTGTGCATTTATAGATTATGTTAACCGTGTAGTGGTGGAATAAGAATATCCACTACCCCAAACCGTCCCCTGGGTGTTGTAAGAGGCGACAGAGGGAAGAATGAAACAGGAGATGGGCAGCAGCATCTTTCTGATAACAACTCAAAAAAATAGAAAGCTGCGGTTGCCAATCCGCCTGCCAAGCGTGGTAAATATGGCAAAATTCTTCCTACGAGGCTCTCTTATCTATTGGGCAGGCCAATGTTCATCTGTGGACGTTTATAAGGCTGTAATTAATTAATGAATCCTTTTTTTGTTATCTAGACAGTAGCTAACATTTTTTAGTAGCAACGTTCGTGCTATCGATCCCCTAAACTCTAGGATGTCCATGTTTGTTCCTAGTGATCTGGCCATCAAAGCAGAGTTATTTATGGTGTCATCAACGAGCCCGGTAAATATGGTTATGTATATGTTCGCCAAGTCCAGTTTCACGTCATCCTTCGTAGAGATCAGCTTGTAAGCCAGAAAGAATTGGTTTGTCGTAAATATGCTGTTTGCAGCCATGACTACCAAAGTACACACTGTATCTAACGATGTATTTAATCAGCTCTTGGTCGAAAAATATTTCTAACAAGTCAATGGGCTAACCTTACTGATAGTGTAAGTACAGCACGACTTAACGACGTGCTGTCCTGAACTGCCTAATGGCATAAAACCAAAAAAAAAGTATTGATGGGTGAGTTTTGATATTATGGATTCTTATGAATGGATTAGACAACCATGATAATAATATTTTTGTGTTTATGCCATCTAGAGTCTTTTCTACGTACCACCTTGAGAGTCAATAAATTTTTGTTCGATAAAATGACTTTAACTATAGAATGTTACTACATCCTATTGATGATGGCGCTATTACTCAAATAGGATCACTCTATCTCAAAATTAATTATAAATTAACTAATAGCAATTGAAAGAAAAATTACGGATTCTACTGGAGCATTTAAGGAGCAATTAATTGTCATACAGTTTAATTTTATAAAGTACATATTTTATGTTTTATAGCAAAATTAAATTTTCGACAATTACTTTTTTTAAATTAATTATAAATAAACTAATAGCAATAGAGGTGGAGCAATTTTGAATTCTACTGGAACATTTAAGGACCAATTAATTGGCACACAGTTTAATTTTAAAAAGTACCTAGATATTTTATGTTTTATAGCAAATTTAAATTTTCGATACTTAAATGTTTTAAAAATTATTTATAAATTAATTAATAGCAATAGAACTAAAACAATTTCGGATTCTGCTGGAGCATTTAAGGAACAATCAATTGGCATATAGTTTAATTTTAAAAAAATGATATTTTATGTCTTATAGCAAAATTAAATTTGCGATATTTAATTTTTTTTTTAATTAATTATAAATTAACTAATAACAATAGAGGTAGAGCAATTTCAGATTCTGCTGGAGCATATAAGGAGCAATTAATTGGCATACAGTTTAATTTTAAAAAGTAGATATTTTATATTTTATAGCAAAATTAAATTTTCGATACTTAATTTTTTTTAAATTAATTATAAATTAACTAATAACAATTGACAGAAAAATTTTAGATTCTGCTGGAGCATTTAAGGAGCAATTAATTGCCATACAGTTTAATTTTAAAAAGTAGGTATTTTATATTTTATAGCAAAATTAAATTTTCGATACTTAAATTTTTTTTAAATGTATTTTAAATTAACTAATAACAATAGAGATGGAGCAATTTCGGATTCTGCTGTAGCATTTATAGAGCAATTAATTGGCATACAGTTTAGTTAAAAAAAGAATGTTCTACGCTAACATCCATCTGGTGTAGTAATGGCCTATAATCTGCCATTAAACTTTCTACGCCTAAAACATTTATTGTAACACCACAAATAGATCATGTGCTGTGATGATCCTAGTATATAGAAAACTATGTCGTAGGTAGTCATAAAATTATTATATTGTCATAAGATCTTAATACGTCCGCAAAATTTCATATTATAAGTAATATTACATAACATACTAAACACGCTTTTATTACTTGCACCTCGCAATAAATATCATGGTGATGAATCGAAGTCTCGCCCTCGGTCAAGACAAAAATATGCCCGAGTCATTCTGTTGCTTTTAGACATATATCGTTGAAATGTGCCTTGTTTATAAACTCATCGGTTGACATTTTAAATGTTTCATTGAGGATTATATAATTACTGTGTAGTAACTTCATGTAGTGGCGGGTAAGAATACCCACTACCCCATATCTTCCCGTAGTTGTCGTAAGAGGTGACAGAGGGAAACTGAGACAGAAGTTGGGCAGCAGCATCTTTCTGATTACAGCAAATGACATTAAAAAAAACTGCTGTTGCCAATCCGCTCGCCAAGCGCGGTAACTATGGCAATATACCCCAACATGACGAGAGTTACAAAAAGACGGCCCCAGTCCACAGCGGCCCCGCTATTCCTGGCTATGGTAGTAACCATGGTAACAGCGGGGCAAGGGGTAGTAAGAATCACCGGTGGAGGTTCGGTTGCCACCTAAGACGACTCGACCTGGCAATATACAACGGACGCACCCTTATGACTAACGAGAAGATCATGGGGCTGGAAGAAGAGATAGACAAGTTGCGCTGGGATATTATAGAGTTATCTGAGGTCCGAAGAGAGGGGGAGGACACGGTAATCCTCGAAACCGGCAACTTGTTCTATAACCGGGAGGGCGACCATCTATCCCAAGAAGGTGTCGGATTTATTGTTCACAAGTTTCTCGTTAACAAAGTACTAAAGGTGTGTCGACGAGGGTTTACAACGACGATCTTATACTCAGAATCACCAGACGGTATTCGTTGCAGGTTTTATAGGTTTACGCACCAACCTCGGCACATCCCGATGAGGATAGTGGAGGAAATGTATGAGGATATCTCCTAAGCCATGAATTTAGACGGTTCGACAAAAAATGAGATTGACTTCATTATGACGACTATACGACAACTGGTTCAGTCATGTCTCAGTGATAGTGACCGTGAAAACTGGTAGGGATGGTTAGAGGCACACTGAATCTAAACGTTAAATTAGAGAGGTATCGTCTAATGAAGTCAACGCTCCGTTCCCCTCGTGCTCTAATTCAAAGTCCCGAAACCTTTGAACACAAAAACGTTTTCAGCGCTTAGAAGATTGCAAGCAGTGGAGGATATGAATGGCAAGCTCGTGGAAACTGTCCATGCGGTTGGAGCTAAGTTTTGCAAGACTCGCCGCAGTAGAACACAAAAACTCTCCGATCACACTCTTCATCTCATGGCTGTTAAACGGGACATGAAGCTGCAGTCTTCAGCAGATTTGGGAGCATACAGACAACTGAACAAACAAATCTCCAAATGCGGCGTGACTTACGCAACGTTTTACGTCGTAGAGTCATGCTGCAGCTATATTAGTAGTATAGTTATAGCACGAATGGGTCGGCTCGACCGGGGAAGGATCACGCTCTCACAGAATACCAGCGTATAATAGCAGCTTAAAACTGATGTGTTTCATATAGTGAGTGTAGAGAACCGGAAACTCTTTTTACTGGAAAAGAGGCATTCCATCTTAGTCCTCACGGGTGACAATGCATCTGCATTTTGATTCGCAAACGAGGGTAGATGTAGATGTCTATGGGCCACAGCAACCACTTATCATCAGGTGGACTGTGTGCTCGTTTGTCACCCTATCCTATAAAAAAAAAACTTTAATACTGCTCGTATTGAAGAAGCGATCGAGCGGAATCAGGACTCCAAAGTCTTTGCCAGAGATCGGTCTGCCAGAAAGATCCAACTGTCTAAGCTGAAGACCGAATGTGGCAGCATCGTTTGCGGGACACCTGAGATTTTGAGTGGGATTGAGAGTTTCTATGGGCAGCTGTACATATCATCGTTGGAGTCACACGCAAGTGTGAGTAACGATCCAAGAGCAAGTCAAGTTATCCGACACGATGCGATCAGCCTCAGCGAGATTAGAATGGCTCTCTAGCACCTTAAAAACGGCAAGTCCCCGGGCGAATTTGGATTTATAGCGAAGCTTCTGAAAGCGAATGGAAAACCGGTACTTGAAGTCCAATTCCGTCAAAATTTGGCTGGTGTTGCAATCCCTACGGCGGTGCCAATTTGACTGTCGGTATATCGTAGTGCTGAAGTGTTTGTACAGTAGGGCTACGGTAGGTTTCGTACTCTGGTTCTGTACTCGGATATCTATCCGAGTACAGAACCAGAGTACGAAACCTATCCAACTGCAGAGAGGTGTAAGATACGGTGATGTTATATACACCAAACCTCTTCACCGCTGCATTGGAAGACGTTTTCAAGCTACTGGACTGGAAAGGATACGGTTTTAACGTCAATGGCGAGTACATCACTCTTCTTCGATTTGCCGACGATATAGTCCTTATGGCAGATTCACTGGAGGACCTAAGCACTATGGTCAGTGACTTCAATAGTGTCTCCCAACGGATAAGTCTTAAGATGAACATGGACAAAACAAAAGTCATGTGTAACGTCCATGTCACACCTATGCCGGTAGATGTTGGTGACACTAAGCTTGAAGTTGTTGACGAGTATGTTTACCTGGGACAAATAGTCCGACTAGGTAAGTCCAACTTCGACCGAGAGGTCAATCGACGGATTCAAATCGATTGGGCAGCGTTCGGGAAATTACGGCACATCTTCTCGTCAGGTATACCTCAAAACTTGAAAACAAGACTGTACAACCAGTGCGTGTTGCCAGTGATGACCTATGGTACTGAGACGTGGTCCTTCACTGCTGGCCGGATGAGGAAGCTCAAGGTCGCTCAGCGAGCTATGGAAAGGGCTATGCTCGGAGTTTCTCTGCGTGATAAACTTAGAAATGAGGATAACCGCAGTAGAATCAGAGTACCGAACATAGCCCAACGGATTAGTAAGCTGAAGTGGTAGTGGTCCGGCCATATAGTTCGAAGAACCGACTACCGATGGGAAAGAAAGTTTTTCTAGTGGCAGCCTCGGACCGGCAGGCAAAGTGTAGGGTGTCCCCCCACTAGATAGAGTGACGTCATTATGATCATCTAAGCCTCATCTAAGGTTTAAAGAGCTTCACCACTTCAATAGCCACTTTCCATCATGGGTTGTAGTCAAGCATTAGTTTGCAGTCGGTAAAACAAGGTAAAAGTCTGTTTGTAGGGTAGGCAGAAAACGGGAAGTGACCTTCACGCAAGCTACAGGGGTAACCTTTTTGGTACTATAAAATTCAAAGTCTATCAATCGTATGAATACCGGAAAAATAAAAAACATATTATTTAACACTTTTGTTTATTATTATTATGTATAATAGTCTAAGAAAAAGAATATCATTTTTCACTGTCGTTCTCTATAAATACAAACTATCATATATATATATATATATATATATATATATATATATATATATATATATATATATATATATATATATATAGATATATATATACACAAGTGTAATAAAGAAAAACACTAGCTAAAATACAATACATAACTGAATAACTAAGTTAAAACAATAACAAATAAACGAAATCAAAACTATCCAAACGGAGGCAAAGGAGACAATTTCTTTTTGTATGGATAATAGTCCCACCACAAATTGTGGCGTAACTTAATGTAACACATATCGATTTATTTATTATAATCTATAGATTACAATAGTAATATTAGTTTTACCGTATCTAACGGGAATACTGAGAAATTAACAATTAAAATGTGCATATCACATTAACCTAAGAACAAACTAAAAGTGATTGTCTAGTTGTTTTCGCCGGTATTATAAGTTAGAATCATAGATTAATGATAAGTGATCGCGCGCTCTGCGCGATGACTTATCGACTTATCATTAATCTATGGTTAGAATAGTGCACTGGTCAATAATATTAATAGTATAAAACAAAGTTGTAGGTACATTCAGCATTTATAGACACTTTAAGATTGATGGAAAATCCTTTTAGTAGTTCGTTCTTCGTTACACTCATTTTTTTTTTATATTACATTAGCCACAACACGAATATCACAACAACACTTTTTTCATATTTCATGATTCTAGTTAAATTTTCAACCGCCTTCAAAGGAGGAGGTTCTCAATTTGACTGTATTTTTTATGTGTGTTACCTCAGAACTTTGTTCTAGGTGAACAGATTTTGATGATTATTTTTGTATTTGAAATTGGTGCTTCATATGTGGTCCCATATTAATTTTATCAAGATCAGATTAGTAATTTTTGAGTTATCTTTAATAATGCGTATTTAATTGACTTGGACTCCATTTATGATGTTCTCATTTTAATTATATTGAAATCAGTTGTAAAAAAAGAATATACCACTTGCCATTAAATTTTTAGGCCGTTTACTATAATAAATTGGTATCTTTTTTATGTGTAATAAAATTTAGTTACGTTAAAATTTCTAGTGGGCCCAAAAACGATTGTCTTCTTTGAGAGCGGAATGAGCTACGCTTTGCCCTACTCAATTAGTCTCCCCGCGCGCCATGTTTAAACCGGTTTGTTACATCTAAATGACCGCATCGCTCATCGCACCCCGTACCAATAAACGCGTAGCTAAGCTATAGCTATAAAGAAAAGTGTCAGATACCGTTTTCTATCGACGCAAACATAAAACGATGTGACGATGACCGTTTTTCGAATATACGAAAATGGTGCCCCCGTGGCTCAATAATCAAACTATCTGACTGACGAATCACGGCTCCTGGTTTCCAATCATAGTCGGAGCAGAAGATTTTTTTAGATTTATAGTCTCTTTATATTGTACTGTACATGCTAATGATATTAAGTTTTGCTTATTTTTTATGCTTTCAGATCACACGGCGTCAAAGACAAAGCGTCACGTATTGAAAACAAAGAAGATTTTTATTTTCGCCGTTCATATTTAGATACAAATCGAATTTACAAGAGCAATGATTATGATGATTATAGCAGCGGGCTCACCGAACCGCGCGCGTCAAAGCACTTTCACTATCCCGCCCCGCCGTACTCCGATACGAAAACGCCAGTCAAAGTCTACCAACCCAGAGAAGACCCACGCCTCTTCTACCAGTCTGATGAATATCTTAAAGAAATTAATGGCAAGAACGTAAACTACGAAGTAGCCTCTATTTATCCAGGCAGAGAAGTCGTGAGGATTGGTGAAGAAGATATATTTAGAACTCAACCAACACGACGCTTGCGGACCAGAGAGAATAATCGAATCGACTTTGCAGGTTTTATTTCCTGTGTCATCCTAAAATGGAATAACTTAATATCTATTTCGTAGTTCTAGTACGTGTTAAAAACTTTTTGTTTCAGAACTAAATCACTGTGTGAAATGTCCATACGATAGAACATTAATTGCCAAAACGGGGTCTGACCGGGTCATATTACAAAGCCCTCGTTTGCTGTCATGTTCAGGACGTAAAGCCCCGCAAAATATCCGATTTATTCACTTGTATGGTCCGAAATTTGGTTCATTACTGCAAGAGGGCTCGTATTCAATAGTTGGACAGATTATGAATTGGGATGAAGTAAGTTTATTATTAACATTCTTCAATTTCTTGTCGATTATTACAGTCTTTTAATTTTACCTCTTATCTTTTTGATCATAGAATCTACAATTATGCAAATTCCAAGTACACGTGGTAACCCAAAGTTGCCGAACTCCAAAATCAATAGTAGCCCATTGCAAAGGGCTTAATCGACCTTGTAATTTCACCTGCCGAGATAGCAACTTGGAATTATATGGCGCAACTTCACTATCATGTGGAAGCGATTTACAGTGGGAGGGCAATCTTCCAACATGTAGAGGTATGCGTTAAAAATATAATTTGATCAACAGTCTAGGTTTGGTTTAATATGTAGATGACTTTTTTATCTTTTTTTTTTACTTATTATAAGCCAGTGCTTGACGACAATCCCACCTGGTGGTATGTGGTTTTTTGGGAAAAAAATAAAACATCCTTTTTTGTCACACGCCACTTTGAAGTATGTCTTTTGCTATTATCTCGAAAACTTTATGCGATATGGGAAAATGACAGAGATATAAACTGATGATCCATCATGTAAAAAAATTATCCTTAATTATCCTTTTACACTCATACTTTTGTTGTAATTTGGATTTAAAGTAAAAAACATGATAAAAATCGATATGCATCAAAAGTATAGTGTAAGAACCCTTTTGTGTAAAATTATTAGGCACTTTTTTATTTCTTGAAAGGTTTGTAATAACAATCATAAAAAAACATTTCTTAAAAAGGATAAAAGTGACACGAGCACACAACCAACATGACAGTCCGTGATGGTGTGTGGATGCAGTGGCCCATAGCTATTTACATCTACCCTCGATTAGGAATCAAAATGCAAATGCTTTGTCTCATCAATGAAGTATAAGACGGAATGCCTCGTTTCCAGTGAAAACGATCTCCGTTTCTCTACACTAACCATCTGAAACACAGCAACATTGAGCTACTGTTTTACGCTGGTATTCTGTCTGACCCATTCGTGCTACAACCATAATATAGCTCTGCAGCATTGCGCTACCACGTATAATAAATATATTTATTTTATCGGTTTTTCGATTTCAGAAGAAAGTCCTGCATATTTTCGTATAAAATATAGATTCGGAGAAATCACTAAGGGCATTGCTATCTATCAGTTCGTGAATTTTCATCACAATCGGTGCACCTATACCAAAGATTAGCCCGGCCAGACAGACAGAAAATATTTTAAAAACATTCGGGTTAAAGACATTTATTTCTCTTAAAGAACACATTGTTCACTTTTACAGAAATTAAGTATACATACAAAATAATATTACCAGTATTTACACGGTAGCATGCATTATATAATTCTATTATGTTTTATTCTTATATGTATATCCTTAATTAATATGTTACACTTTTTCATACTTAATGTAAACATAAGTGTGTATTATATCGTAATGTTTTAAAAATATGAATATTATATTAATGCAATACTCATATGTTAAAAATTGAAGATATGCAGTTATGAAATTTTATCTACAACATATGATTTTAGTTTATTCTTAAAATGCTTAATATTATTACAATCTTTTATAGTATCCGGTAGATTATTATACAAAAGTACACCCTCACACATTATATTTTTATTGCTATAAGATCTCGTACGAGGTACGAGGCTGCCAGATTTGATGTTTGTTTTTGTTTCTAAGGTAATGTGTAATACACTTTGGTGTGAATGTAACTGTTGAGTGTGTTTTTAGATATTATTTTTTTAATAATAAGGCATGTGTTATATGTATATAATTGTTTAATGTGTAAAAATTTAGTTTTTCTGTATAGCTCCTTAGTTGGTGTTAGGTAGTTGTAATGAAATAGTGTTTTATTAGTTTACTGAACCCCATATCTCTATAAGGTACTCCAGGTGTGGCTTGGCTAGGGCGTTATAAATAGTAGTTTTGATTTTGTATGGTATACAGTTTGATACCTTACGTAATGCTCCCGTAAGTGATGCTAATTTTGATGTTATTTTGTCTATATGAGAGTCCCATATCAGTTTGTCATCTAATAATAGACCTAGGTACTTTACTTTTTTAGATCTTTTAAGAGTAATATTATTAATCTTAAGTGGTGTGTAGGTAGGTATTTTTTTTATTTTTAGCACAGAAAATCATATATGATGTTTTAGTCACATTAATTGTGAGAAGATTGTATGAAAACCACTCATTTAATATATCCAAATCCTTTTTTGCTGATATCATACATATAAAATAAAATTAAAATGTGTGTCTGTAATATATGTAGAAATAGCTCTGTTTTATTAAACTCAGGGGTTTATCGGCATGCTATTGACATACACGAGTAAATGTTCAATTGATGTAGTTACAAAAATAAAGACAAACATTGATCGAAAACATGTCTGTTTAGGAATATTCATAGACTTAAAAAGGCTTTTGATACGGTAAGCCACTCAAAACTATTACAAAAGTTAAATAATATAAGAATAACATGTACAGCACTAGATATGTTGGCCTCTTATCTCACTAACCGCCAACAGATTGTACAAATATCTAACTACAAAAGTGGTCCTCAACAAATTACCTGTGGCATTCCACAAGGCTCAATATTAGGCCCTTTGTTATTTCTTACATACATAAACAACATAGTAAATTTATACCTATCAGGTCATTTATCACTCTACGCAGATGACACTTGTCTTTTTTACTTTGCACATTCAATTCATGAAGTTATATCACAAGCACAAAAGGATTTGGATATATTAAATGAGTGGTTTTCATACAATCTTCTCACAATTAATGTGACCATAACATTATTTATGATTTTCTGTGCTAAAAATAAAAAAATACTTACCTACACACCACTTAAGATTAATAATATTACTATTTATATATAATATAACGTAAAATATATAATAATAAAATGAATATGTAATAAGTGTGTATGTGATTTACATAATCGATTATCGATATTTAAATTTTTCCGCAGCTCGTAACTGGTGCAAGGCGCCGTTGCCTCCAGAACACGGGCGCATTAATTGCATAGGAAATCCAGCTGGAGAAGCGTTAGCAGGTTTAGCCGAAGGATCAAGATGCCGTGTTCGTTGTGAGCATGGTTGGCGTCCACATTCGCGAACCGTAACCGTGTGTCGTCGTGGTATTTGGACTCATTCGACTTTATTATGTCAACCAATTAAAAGCACACAAACTGGATAAATTTATACCTAAGATACTGGATTTATTAATTGGGCCTTTTTTACTGCTAACAAGGCATTCCATCTTAGTTCTCAGAGCTCAGTGGTACAATGCCTCAGCATTTTGATTTTTAATGTAGAATAGATGTAAAGTGTGTATGGGGCACAGTAGGTATCTACTTACCACTAAGTGAACTGTGTAGCTCGTTTTCCACTTTAACTTCGATACAAAATATGGCAGCAATTTATGGTGATATCATTATAAAAGCCAAACAATCAATAATTTATTAACAAACTACATTTTTAAATAGTTTGACTTAACAATGAGGAAAATTATGAAACTAAAGGAACTATCCGGTGTAAGAAGGCTGGTGTTTTTCTCGCTCAAAGGCTAAGTATAACCATTCAGCGAGGAAACGCAGACAGCGTTCTTGGCACGATCCCACGTGGAGTAGGACTGTATAATAATTAACTTAGGTATTTGTTTTAGTTTTTTTTATTATAGTTTTTTTTTTAATATTGTATATATTTCAATAATATGTAAATTAAATATTAACATAATATTAAATATTACTAAATGAATAAATTTTGGTCAAATTTGGTCAGTTAATAAATCGTGGTATTTTATTTAACACAAGTCCTTAAAGAAACCAAATTACATCATCATCATTACAGCCCTTCACAAGTCCACTGCTGAACATAAGCCTCCCCCAAGGAATGTCACAAAGCACGGTCCTGAGCCACCTGCATCCATCGACTTCCTGCATATCTTACCAGTCACTCCATCTAGTGGGGGGACGCCCAACACTTCGCCTACCGGTACGAGGCTGCCACTCGAGAACCTTTCTTCCCCATCGGTTGTCAGTTTTTCGAGCTATATGGCCGGCCCATTGCTACTTCAGCTTACTAATCCGTTGGGCTATGTCGGTCACTCTGGTTCTACTGCGGATATCCTCATTTCTGAGTTTATTACGCAGAGAAACTCCGAGCATAGCCCCCTCCATAGCTCGCTGAGCGACCTTGAGCTTCCTCATCCGGCCAGCAGTGAAGGACCACGTCTCAGTTCCGTGTGTCATCACTGGCAACACGCACTGGTTGTACAGTCTCGTTTTCAAGTTTTGAGGTATACCTGACGAGAAGATGTGCCGTAATTTCCCGAACGCTGCCCAACCGAGTCAACCAAATTTCAAACAAAAAAAATTATTTATAGCGCAAATTTTTAATATAATGTACATTTAATAATACTTACTTATTTTGTGTAATTAAAACTCATTAAATTGAATACTTATTGTACGAGTATATCTTATAATTTATTGAAAAAAAAATTAAGTAGAAAAATAATTAGTATTTTATCTTTAAAATGTATATTATTATCTATCTTAAAGTTATATTAATTTATTATTATATATATTCAAAATTCAAGGTAGTATTCACATATATTCACGGTTGACCTTACATTAAAGTACGTATATCTGAGCGCTGTGCGCTCACTACCCTCTATTGCAAAAACGGTTGAGCGCATGAAAAATATTTCAAATAAAATTTGTCGCAAATTTTATGCACTCTAATTTTTATAATAGATGTTAACATCATTCAAACAATAGAAACCGAGATAATCGCGAAAACTGTATTTTTTTACCTTTGACCTTGAATACCTTACGACGCAGACACGAGATTTCATGAGATTTTTGAGACAACTTTTAGAACGCCAAAATGAAGGCACATACGAAAATTCAGCTTATTACCTCTCATTCCGAAGTTGATCGCTAATTTGTCTGGACTAAAGTGCATTTTACAATTTTATATTATATTTTGTTCGTTTAAAAAGCATTACATTGTTACCAATGTTTTATTAATTTATGATTTTACATTACAGTCTCTTGCTTGATTATCAGAAATAATGTTTCTAGTTTGGTATTTATATAAATAGTCATACCTTATGACAAATTCATTAAAGTAGTTTAGTAAAACAAACACAATATAAATGTATAAAGTATAAATATTTTTAGAAAATTTCATCGATATATCAATGTATTAATATTTATACTCTATCGACTTCAATATCAATATTTTCGAACAATACCGATTCGATATATATTGTATCGATATAGATATATAACATACTCAAATATATATAATATATTCGATACAATATTTATGGGTTAATTATGATAGAGTACAATATATAGTTATTGGAATTTAAAAACTTAAACTATCAGCACCGTGCTTCTATTTTTCAGGGCAAAGTAGAATTACTTATATTAAAAATAAATCTGTAAAGTTTCAAAAAGTAAATCGGTAAAATTAAAAACTTATACAAGACAGAAGTGGTTACCCTTTACGTATTGTACTCTCCTCTCTCCTATATCTCTGTGTGTTTACGGGTGGAGGCCCATGTGACGCATGAGTGTTTCTAGTTAGTTTGTGGCGCCTGTCAAATGGGTCGAATGTACTCGAATGGTCGAAATATATCTATACTATATCTATTGTCGAATCTATAGAATTTAGCCCCTAGTCCGGTGGCGGCCATTTTGCGAGAACGTCTCGTCTGCTAGGGCCTTAGGAGGTAATCCACGCGATATCGGCGCGTGGCGACTAAATTAGTAATTTCTCTAAAATATTGTATGGAAGCTATGTATAAAACTTATTTTATTTGAATTGTTATATTATTTACTATTACTCTATAGTTATCTAAGTTGAATACAACCTGAGAGATTTTATTATTCCAATTTCAAAGTTAAGCAACCAAATTTTTATTAGTATTCTGTACATAGTTCGTGAAAATTAAACAAGAAAATCATTAATTAGTAAAATAATGTAATTTATTTACATCAATATACATTACTTTATAATAAAAAAGCAAAAAAAAAACCACACATTCCTATACATTTTTTACACCATAAGCTTTTCAGTCTTGACACATGGACGGCGACGTTTACATACGACTGCGACACATGCTGTTTATTCGAAATTTCTAAACATTGAAGTATTTTAGTAGCTTTGTATCGGGTCCTCGTTCATTGGTCTATAATTTTCTATAGGTGAAAAAGGGGATAGCAATCATTGTCGACGTTAATATTACCCGCCAAATACTCAGACATGGATCGGCCAGTATCTGGTCGCTTAGCAGATGCGCATGATAATTCATCAGCCTGATTCTGGCCGATCGTCAGACAAACGGCTAAAATTTTATAACTAAGATTCTGAGGGTCAAACAATCACACATTGTAGAGATTGTCACTAAAGATTTTAACATGTTTCCAACAAATAATTAGTGACAGAACACGTTTTGTGTTATTTCAAATGTTTCTTTTTCGAAATTGTGGATATATCAAGGCAAAATGCATTTAATTTATATTTTGTATGTTGTATATCTGAGTTTTATATATTAATGTGCAGTTTAAAGTGACATACACCTTATACAAAGCTTATACTTTAATTAATTACGGTCGAATTCCAATAGTAATAATTAAATAGTAAAGTATAGTTCTTTTAATTGGTTGTAAATCTTTACACCCATATCTTTTTTAATAATACGTTTACATAGTTTCCGTTTTATAGGCGCTTACTATATCCAGTATTTTGTGAGTTTAAGTGTAAAATACAGTTTTTCAACCGAAAACGAACCTTCGGTTTGGGTGTCAGCTTCGGCCGAAACTGTAACTTACTCAGACATGTAATTTTTTTGATTGTATACTGAGCTCTGGTATATTTTTGTACATATACAGATAGGTAGTGCATGTTAATGAAAAACAGTCATTGTAATAGTCATGTAGCAATATATTTATTTATTTTAAAGTAAAAATCAATAATTTAACGTTAAGAAATACTTTTTAAGCCAATTTATAGAAAAATCAACACTTACACGCATAACAAGTTACTCGCTAATTGAGAACATATTTTACTGTGTTCACAATATTCTTAATATTATTCAATGAGAGCATTAACTTAATATATCACACTCACACACTTACACACAATATATACATAACAAAATCCTAGAAAATATACAAAACCTACTCAAAATTCAAAAACTTTAATAAACTAAGTTTGTATAAAAACGGTTATTGTAATATTAAGGAATTTATGGCTGATAATAACCCCTGGAAATAAGGTGATCACTGCCAAGCTATTTCTAATTTATTTTGTGTTGTTAATTGTGTTACATACATGATTGTAAGAGCGGCGTAGCTAGGCTTGGGCGAAGTGGGCCCTCGCGAGGCCCTCTAGAATACTATGCTCCCAAACTTGACCACAGCTGACTAATTTATTTGATCACTTTTACGCTCGAAAAAGAAAGTCACAAATTTAAGTGTGTTTGTTTGGAGCCTTGCAAGAAGCCCCTTTTAAATGCGACTGCGAGCCCGTTGTAACTACCTTCAAAGACCGCTATTGTTACATTGACGGAATACGAGACTGGTCAGGAATTAAGAGATATGAGTAGGTACTCGGATGTCGTGTCGAAACATGTTTGGTAGGATAGATCTATTGGGTAGATCCTTGGACCGAAAGAAAAGGAGCATAGCTGATGCAACTTCGCTCACGTTTATATTAGTCCACGCTACACCTCTGATTGTAAGCTGTTATTTTAAAAAAAAAGACCCGCTGGGTTTCTTGTTAGGTCTTACAAGTTTTTTTTTTTCGAACCAGTGGTACCTAATTAAACAAAAGAGTTACTTTTAATAAGTATTATTTACAATCCATATAAAATAAAATTAAGTTTCTGTTTCCGTTTCTGCATAATTATGAATAATACATGAGTCACGTACTCATTCGAACGACCCACGATAATCCACGAACACTGAATTTTGGCGCCGCCGAAGGTTCGGCAGATTTTTTGCCGAAACCGAAACTAGATTTTTTAGCCGAAACCGAAACCGAATCTTCAGTCGGTCACTACATATAACACGTACCTGTAATTGTGTAAAAAAAAATGGAAGTTAAACTTGACCAACTTCTCGGTTTTCGATGGAGCTGAAATTTTGCATATACGTTTAATTTAGAAGACAATGCATGTTTAACAAGTGACGTCATTCTAAATCCAATATGGCGGACTCCCAAAGCTGGAGGACTAGTTATTTTTTATGCGTTCCCATGATATGGATATCAAATAAAAGGGCATTTTGAGAAGAATATCAAAAATAAAAGTGAAGCGTGTTTTTTTTATTTTTGTCTCAAACTCGCTCCCATAAATGAAACATTTTCAAATGATTTTTAAGCAATAATTTATATTAACGTAAGTGTTACCATAGAAACTTTGTAGTGAAGTGTTAAAGTTACCAAAGTTAGAATCAAGAAATATATTTATTATATATTTCTTAAACATTTACTATTATAGATTTCTTAAACAATAAATATCGGGTTAAAAAATTATTAGGTCTTTGTAACTTTAAGCTGAATATTACAGGTTTTTTTAACTGAGCTTTGGTAATCAATTCGATCGTTTATGTAATTTAATTTAATTTTAATTATAATAGGTCTGGCCACCCAATTTTGTTAAGGGTATCAAAAAATTGTATAAAAAGTTACGAATTCAACGGTATTCTTATTTTTTTTCTACCTTTAAAAATGACTGAAATATTGATGAGTAAAATGGTTTTTTACGGTA